ATTTCACTTCTCAAGTAAATGTATTTTGTTTTACAAATTTTAGACATTTGCACATATAACAAGACAAGAATACTGATGAAGAGCATCGTTTTTTTTTTTTTATGCTTTTAAAAGTTACAGTAAAAGTTTCCATATTCTAATGATTGGGAGCAGAGGTTTGGCACAATATTTTTTTTTTCCTTTTGTAAAATTAATAAAAAAAAAATAATGGAGACATTTGGAGACGCATATTGATGCATTGTGTTCCATTCAATTTATTCCTTAAATTTTCTTTACCTTTTCTTAAAAGTCTTAAATGTACTTTCATAAAACCTGCAAAAACCCTTGTATTAAATATTTTATATACACATTTTTTCATTAAATATGATAATTAAATAATTTAACAGGCATTCTTTTTTAATAATTAATAGCAGCTATTATTATTATTATAAGATTTCTTTACTTGAAAAACTTTAGTAAAATTCAAAAATATGTTTAAATTATTATTATAATAATTGTTATTTTTGTTCTGCTCAAATTTCATGAATGAGACCCATCACGTTCCAGTAGGACTTTTGTCTTTCCTGTACATGACATATATAGCATATGTGAACAGCACTTTGATGTGGTGTGAATACATTTCGACAGACGAAGCCCTGCCTGTGTCACATATGCCCCCGCGTGTCAGCTGGTGATTTCATCAGCCATCTCCAGAAAACAGAATGATTTCCTTGCAGAATGAGCCTGAAAATGTATACTCCCCCCTCCTCTCATGCCAGAAAAACTGCTCCTCTATCTTACAGCAACAGCCTGGCAAAGAGAGGATGTCAAGTTATTTTCCTCCCTCTGTAGTTCCCTGAAATGCAATGACATTTTTCACTCGCACAGGTCACACTTTCATAGCCAGGACATTGCTTTGAACATTTACCTCCTCTTGCACATGGAGGGCACATTTCAAACTGTCATAATGTGTGTCAGGCTGACTGTCCAACTTGAAATTTGTGTAGTATTTGTTGAGAGCATGCCTGTATTGTGTTTAGTACCATCTCACTCGTCCTCCGTGGCACGGGGAACTCACAAAGTCCTTTGAGTGTCCTTGAGTGCCTCTTCCTCTTCTAGTGATGGTATAAAATCAAGTGGCCAGTTTGGTCATTCATCTTCATGATAGACACCACGGGTTGACCATTTCCCCCTACAGGTGTCTTTGTGCTCGGCTCGCTGGGAGAAATGTGCTGCTGGCGTTCACATCAAGCCTTATGTCTCACCTCAATGCCAGAGCGTGTCTGGAGTGCCGGCAGTTAGTTTCGGCTCTGCCTCATCCGTTCCACTGCAGCCATACAAGCTCAAACCGCACCTGCCTGTCTTTCTGCCCAATCAGTCAGGCATTAAAAGCTTTCAACAGCTCTGCTCTTGGGCAGTTACAGTTTTAATGGCTTCCAAAAGGATCATAATTGCATCCATTCAACAGAAACTCTTTCAGCGAGACCAGCACTTTTCATGTTTCACTGACTCCCTTATTTGCCTTTTTCCCTGCACCTGTAATTTCAGTGCTCACTTATTTGCCACTGAAATCTTTGCTGTCCTCATAGCAACCGATATGGGACAACCCTGGTCTCTGTCTCACTGACCACTTATGATCAGATTTGCTCTCTTCAAATCCCACTTGACATTTCACCCTTGTCTTTTGAATAGACTGCAAATGAAATCATGTGTAAATAGTAAAGAATGGGCTTCGATTTTTATAAGAGTCAGAAATAAATCTCTGTTTCATTGTAAAGCAATCTTTTTTTTATTTACTTCAAATACCTTACCAATGGTGTCTCTTTTGAGCCGTTCAGTCTCATTCTGTGGTTTATGTATGTCACATTCGCAGCAAGTGTGATGATCCTCATATTTCTTTGTTTTTGCACTGGTGACAAATCATTTGTCTTTCCTTTAACATCTCCGGCTGCTCTAAATCAATATGTTACACAAATAGACGTGAGAGCTATCAAAATCCTTTTAAAGGACAAGCGCTCACACACCAGGAGCGAGCACAGTTCAGTTTTTAAGAATTGGCTGTCTTTCTGTTCACAAGTGTGAATTTGAATTAAATTTGCCACACCCCACAGGATATTGAATTGGAAAATGATTGACAGGAAGTGGAATTTATTGGATTAGTGAACACAGGCTGTGTGAATACTGTGATGTTTTAATAAGTGTGGTAATATGAAAACACACTGCTTTTGTGTGTGTTGTGAAACAGGCCTGAAGGGTGTTGTTAGGCATGATGCAGACACAAGACAGCCTTTAGTGCCTTATTGCTTTTAAAAGTTGGTTAGTCCTACTATATAATAAGAAAATAAATGCTGTTCTTTAGAATTTTCTATTCATCAAAGAATACTGATAAATTCTGAAAAACTTGATCCTGAACAATGTACAATTTTGTGGTTTCCACAAAAATAACGTTAATAATAAGTAAAAGTACTGCTGAAAAAAAAATCACAGGAAAAAGTATAAATTAAATATCAAATATATTTTCTATTTTTATTTTTCATATTTAATATATAAAAATAGAAAACAGTTATTTTAAATGGTAACAATTATATTTTACTGTATTTTTGATCAAATAAATGCAGCCATGGTGAGCACTGAGACTTCTTTCTTAGACAGTAAAATTTTTACTGACACCAAACTTTTGAAAGGTAGTGCATATAAATGTTTAATTAAAAATTATTATTTTTTTAATTGTGATTATTAAAGGGGTCATATGATGCCTTTTTAAAGATCATTATTTTGTGTATTTGGTGTAACAGAATATGTTGACATGGACTCCACTGTGATGTGACCCTGTCTCTCTCTCTCTCTCTCTCTCACACACACGCTCTCGCGCGCGCACACACACATACAAACACACGATGCGCAAAACTCCGCATTTGAAAAGTCAATAGCAAATACTTAAACTAATAACAAAACAGTAGCAACTTTGCATTTGTGGCTTAATAATCTACATATATTCTGCTGTGTGTATGAAAAAAATGTAAGTGACACTGACTCTTTCTCTGCAGGGGTGTGAGTTTTGTGAAGGTGGCTCAGCACGCTTGGCTATAATGAGTGTACGTGTTGGCACTGAATTCACAATAACTAATAAAAATATCCCTTCAGAACCCACATCAGGTGCACATGCATTCGTGGTCAACACAGCCTTATAAATTTCCTTGGAGATCTGCTCACACATACATGTTGGTTTTTCTATCATGGCAGAGCCTTTCTGACTTCTATTGTCTTCAGACTGAGTTAATTATATGCGTTACACCCTAATCTTAAACCTATTTCCCACAGAAAACTTTTTGGATGTTTATCTTGTCATTAATTAATTATTTAGTAAAGCCATTTTTATGGCCTGGTCTCCACAATGGTAGTGTTTTAATATCCATGTTGGAACATTTATTCCTCACAATGTAGGCAAAACCTGACCCACCCACACACACACACAGACACAGACACACACACACACACACACACACACACACACACACACACACACACACACACAGTGTTCCAGTGATTAATGCTACAGGCTGAGGTTGTGTCCCACAGACATCACCCCAGTGATGTGAGACATCTGTCTGTGGTTAGCTATGCCTCTGTGTGTGTGTGTGTGTGTGTGTGTGTGTGTGTGTGTGTGTGTGTGTGTGTCGTCTATCTACCAGCACACTGCACATATTTGCTTTTGTACTCAAGTTTTGCTGCATGACTCACCAAGATGATCTTGACCAAGTCAGAAAAGGTCAAGGTTAGCCAGTAAATTGGCTCTAAGCAATCAGCCCTCTTGCTAAGCTTATGATGCCGTGTTTGTGAGTGTGTGCGCATGTGTGTTTGTGTGTGTGTGTGTGTGTGTACGCTTTTATCTCAGAGGAGGGGTTTGATGAGGTTCTGGCAACTTTCAAGCTCACAGCTCCTGGTATCAGTGACACTACCACTATAAAGAACAGTTGTAGGGGGGTCATGTGACACAGCCACACACACACACACACACACACACACACACACACACACACACACACACACACACACACACTATAAAATCAACCAATAGCAGAACAACATAATAAACAGCTACACAATGCATTGCCAAAAAAAACCCATACATATTATGTTTTTCTTTTCTTTTTTTAAATCTATTTTTTTGTTTTCCAATAAAAGATTTAAACATTTTAAAAATATTTAGTTAAGAAATATTTTTATATTTTATTTACTTGAAAAGCACATGAAAAAATAGTTTAGAGAATATATCTTGAATTATTATTATTATTATTATTTTACCCTTTTACCCAAATTGTTTTGTTGTTGTTGTTTGTTTATAACAAAAATGTAACACATTTAGTAAAGTTTATCTTAAAAATAATAATATAGAGTTATTAATTTAAGATATATTCACTGAAAACAAGTATTAATATATTTTCCTATGACTATAATATATAGCCTATACATCTTTAATACATACCACTTTAATATAATACATACAGATACATTTAGTTATTAGGAATTTTCTGATATTTTTACTGGAAAAAAATTTAACACAACATCATGAAACCTACTTACAGACTTGTGACAGAAAGAAGAAAAGAAAGAAACAGGCAGTAGTGTGTGTGACTGTATGTCAAATACTCAAGGACAGGAAACAGGCCTTGTCTATTCACGTCTGTTTCCATGCTCATAACCCAAGCAAAACAGGTGTGAACGTGTGATCCAACAGGAAGTCACATGTTTGAGTGTTCTAAAGCCCCTGAACAGCTGTCCCCCCTAGTCTCCCCTCCAGAATGTGTGCTAGCATGCTAAGGGGCACTAAAACAGGGGCTGCTCGGCTTGGAGCTTATGAGTATTTGTTGAGTCTAATATAAGCACATACGCAAAGAGGGGTTATTTAAAAACACACAAACCCTTTGGCCTTCCACTCATTTGAAGCAGCTCCTACATTTTATAGTGAACAGACACACTTTAAATAATGCTCACCCTGTATGCGTGTGTGTTTTAAACAGGTGGAGATCGAAAAACTGGACTACCATCACTACCTCCCGCTGTTCTTTGACGGACTGTGCGAGACAGTTCACCCCTATGAGTTCTTCGCTCGACAGGGCATCCATGACATGCTGGAGCATGGTGGCAGTAAGATCCTGCCTGTTATTCCACAGCTCATCATACCCATCAAAAGTGAGTGTCATTAAGATGAGACTTGCTCCCTAGTGCTCTTCCTGTCCAGTATACTAATTACTGTCCAAAGTTCTTTTTTTTTGTAAGTCACAAAATCCTTCAATGGGGGTCAGTCTGTCCTTGGTACCGAGTATGCACTTCATCTGAAAGCTTGGAGGAAGAATAGGAGAAGCATTCCAAAGCTTGCTAAAGAGAAAATAAAAATGGCATTAAATTAGTAATACTATTACAGTATTAAGGGAGGCCTCCAAGAGGCTACCTTCCAAAACTCTAAAGCAGTCACTCTCCATAAATCTGGCTTATGGAAAGGTGGTAAGGAGCAATCCTTGAAATGCTGAAAATGCATATCACAGCTGGAGTTTGGCCAAAGGCATGTGAGGAGCTCAACAATTTGAAGGAGAATCCAGTGTGATGAGAGCAATATTGGGCATTGGTGCTTTATTTTTTTGCCAGGGGTTCTTACGATGCTGTTTAAATGATAGAATATCATTTTTGTTATTCATTTTTTGTTTAAAAAACACTCAAATGTTTTTCCAGCAAAGCAAAAAGACCCCTGTTATGGTTATGTGATATAGAAGTCATTTGTTATTATGTATGTTTTTTTTTTTACAATGTAAGTTTTTATTGGTTAATTTTTGCTTGTCTTCCTGTTTAAAAAATGGTATTATAAATGCAAGATACATCTTACTGACAAAATAAGCTTCTTTCATGAAGACTTTAGAAAACTTAGGATACATTAGAAAATCATGGATAGAAGGAGGAATGGATGAAGCTAATTGGAGAAAAAAAACCAACAACAAATACTGACCTTACACATACAGCAAAGGTCACATTGAAGAGATTGAAAACGAGAAGGTCGATGTTTTGCACTGCTCCTGTGAGATGATTCAATAAAATAATCCTTCTTCTTGATTGATAGATAGATAGATAGATAGATAGATAGATAGATAGATAGGTAGGTAGGTAGGTAGATAGATAGATAGATAGATAGATAGATAGATAGATAGATAGATAGATAGATAGATAGATCGATAGATCGATCGATGAGAACACTTTTCCTTCCCTCTCTCACAGGAATGACTGCAGATAGGTTTGTATCAGGAGTTAAACTAACGCAATTAATGAAGTGTCTAAATGTCGTGCTCCTGTGGTATTTAGAGAAGGAAAAGGTATGTGAGTTCGTTCATTTTTAGAGCCTAATATGAGGGAGAAATTAACGGTTCCTTTATTTAGAGAGATTTAGAAACAGATCTTCACTCATCCAGACGTGTCACACACCATGAATTATAGAACACTCCTTCGGTGCAAATGTCACACCGCTTGAAAACAGTTTGCCGTGTTGGTTTGGTAATTAGAATTTCATAGTGTGTTATACAGATATAGGAGAGCAGGAAGTAAATGGAGGTGATTGGAAGGTACCTCCTAAATGCCTTGTTCAGGCAGGCTTTAAATGCATCATAACATCAATGATCTAGTGAGATAATTCAAGAGGTAACCAAATATATATTTAATGACAACAAAAGCTTATTTCTCAGTAGAAATCAAATCATATAGAAAAATAGATATTTATGAATGAAATTGCTTCTTTCAAGTTCAAGTTCAAGTTCAAGTTGAGCTTTATTGTCATTCTGCTGCATGTGGGGACATACAGTGGAACGAAATGTCGTGCCTCACAGGACCACGGTGTTACATAAATACAGGCATACAACAATGAAGTAAAAACCTATACAGTAAAGCAGTAAAAACCTATACACAACTAACCTACTGACTGATTTTGATTATAAATATACTATATATATATATATAAATGTTTACCTATACATAAGTTAAAAAAATACAGACTATACGGATGCTTCACATAAACACTGTACCTATACACAGCTAACCTACTGACAGATTTTGACTATGAATATACTATATATAAATGTTTACCTATGCATAAA